CTACTGAATAGCAGTTAAAAGACTTTCAAAGGACAAAAAACTTACCTGTTAGTTTTGCAGAATAACAACTATTATAAATACTGATCTATAGTTTTTAGTATTGTGAGGGATTCACATTTGTAAATTAAAGCAGAAACCAAACCCACACTCTCACAAAGTTGCCGTTGTAGCTGTAGGACAACTACTCAGCAGTTCAAGTCACCAGAGATGGATGCTTAATGGATGATGTGGAACCAGCATTTCAAGTGAACTTGTTGATTTGTTCAGTTCAGTCTAACAGGTAAACTGCACTCTTCTGATTAAAAGTTATGTACAGCAGCACATGGCTATCTAAACGGAAGTTGCAGGATGCATAGTGCCTGACCTGAATAATCTGAGGTTTCCCTGCATTCAAGAATAGAACAAAAAAAAAGCAGAAATGGACTCCATTCATGCATCACTTGACCGTTGTAAGGTGCTGATAGCCCATATGCATCAGGCCTACAGGAAATGAATACTCTCACATAGCTCTTCTAAAGGAAATGCAGTCACAGCAAGAGGTCAACATATGCATGCTAGAGAGTGGAGGAGGGACAGGAAGCAATCAGGAAAAGATGCTAATAAAAATGAAAGAGCTCAACAAATGTGAGGAAAAGCCTTCCTGCTCCTCCAGAGATATGGCCTGCAAAATGCTAGAATAGATCCCCCCCAAAGAGCTGCTCCAGGCTGCTTGTATCAGATAAGCTAAATCTCATTTTTTTCCTATTAGTGCTTGCCATTTACCCTCAGTGCATTTACATCATCACCAGATATCTTCCACACTTCACAGAATAAAGCCAAAATAGTCCTCTAAACTTTTGTTTTGTTTAAACACTATGTTCTTCAGCTTCAGGATCCAACTTTTGATTGGAAACCCAGGCAAGATTTGTAGAAAATACAAAACTGTATGGATAACCCCAGAGTGAATATACTAGTCATGAATTACCACACTGTTCTGGATAATATTTCTGCTATCTTAGATGATGATAATTCTTGCATAACTTCCAGCTCATCATATCACCTGCAAGCCAGTCTGTCTCTCTAGAGAAGCTTGCCATTCAGCAATAAACATTCAGCAATATATGAAGAGGCTCTGCTATTGCTTCTATCCATGTGCAATTGTAACATTTTAGGTAACAGGGCAACTCAGCACTTCAGGTAACTGACTATACCTAACAGCCTTCTTACAGGCTATTAGGTCTATAAAACTAAGGAATTCTGCTTGCTTCTAGACAGTGCAAGCAAGCAGCAGGAGAAAACCTGATTTGCTGCCTACATCAATTTGGAAAGACCAGATTTATGCATATGATCATGCCATTGCTGATAGCTCTTAGCATTGCCAACAACCTGTAAGTCTCATCCATTTCAGTAGGACTGACATGCTCAGCTTTACTGAGGGTCTATCAATACTGTTTTCATACCTCTGCTACCTCATGACATCTTTTGACAAAGTTTCTTCTAGAGGATAGGATGGTCTGTAGGGTAGGGACTGGAAAAATATTTTTCAATATTCCTAGATTAATTTCTAATGCCATTGTTAAAGAAATGTGAAAGCTGCAAGGGTGACCTTAACTCTTCTCCACTTGTTTCTGTCTTGTCTTTTCCTCACCCCACCCCCTCTAAGTTAGTCAGGCACTTATTTTTAGACAAAGAACAGATAAGCAGAACAATCCATTTCAGGGAACATATCTTCAGCTGTCACTCAGCTCACTGACTATAACTCCTGTGTCTTAGGCTGTTGACTATTTAACAGTGAGCTGATCACCTGAACCTACCTGAAGGGAAGAAAATAACAGTATCTCAGACAGCATTTTAAAAAGAGTTCTTTAAAACTGAACTGTTGTGCCAAACATCTTTGATTAATTACCTTCTTTGCCCACTGTTTTAAAATGTATTTTCCTCAACAGAAGCATTTGTCGTATCACAGCCTCAGACTGTGCTTTTGTCAAGCTTCAAAGACCTTCACATTTTCTCCCCTGCTTCTCAGATGAAGTTCAAGCTGAGTGGGAATTGTAAAGTAATGACTGACAGAGTGCAGCGCAACAGTCAACTAAGCCACAGCCCTAGTTCATAAGTCCAGTGTGGCCACCGTATGTCTAAGTGTGGGCCAGCTTCATACTAGCTTCCCCTTTCAGGGAAGTCCTTCGAAACATGCATGAGTAAGACTATAGATGGGATGAACAATCCCAGTGTGGTAGACTGTTGTCACCATCTTTCTCAGGAGGTCAAAGGCAACTCTCTAATAGCATGACTTGTGGCATGATAGAAGAACACAAAGCCTCCATGAGAAAGGATGAGTCTTTTTTTTCTTTTTCTCTGTGGCACACCCAATCAGTCTTACTGCTTTCGGACCGTTAGAAAATAATGAGCGTGTCTACATATGAAATCTATCTGCCTACATAGAGGGATACAATGCATATGTAGACAAAAAGGGCCACTGCACTGGTATTAAATTCCATCTGGTATTAAAAGCAATTGTAAGACCCTTACAGCTGAAGTGTTTGGGGTCTAGGACTCATCTTGCACCTAGGGAGTCCAATCCCATCTCAGGAGAGCTGTGGATCAAAACCAGTCAACATGTGTGGCATGTGGATGGCATCCACTGGCAACATTTAGAGCTGTGTGCCTTTCCCAAGAAAGGGATTTTCTTCAGTTATTTTGCCTCCCCAATAGTATCTTGAGAATGCAAGTACATCTTTCCTTTTCCCCCATGGTAATATTGCAATTATGGCTAAATTCACAGCTGAACTCATTTATGATGGCAAATTGCTGATTAAAGGGAATATCTTAACTGTTTGGAGATATATTTATGTGAGAGATGTTAAACTAAAAATGGACTTTAAGAACGCTATCATCATCGAGTTCCAATTAAAAAGCTATCACAACTAGCAGACTTCCACACTCCAGCTCCCTCATGCTACGTAGCCTAAAGAGGCTATGTTCATTTCTGCATGCCTGCTTTTTACCCCTAAGGCTGGCTACAAATTGAATCCAATCCCAAAGCAACTAAAAACTGGGCCTCACTGGGAAAGAGTTCAAAATATTTAACGGTGCTTTCTGACACTTCTACTGCTGGAAATGCAGCCAGCTGTGTGAAGAGGTAATTTCTCCACACCTCTGGGAATCCATCCTTTGCAGTTTCACTGCTACTTACCATATGCTCTCAAAAGCCCTATGAAAATCTATAGCCTTTGGACATAATGAGTATACTTTAAGAGATTATAATCTAAGAAAATGGATTCTTTGGGAAACAACTGTTTTTTTCTTTCTGATTGTGTCATATATAGTGCAAGTCCCACAGCCCCAGCCTTTGACTGACAGCCTCTAGGTATGACTTATAAAAAAAAAAATCAATACCATACAGTACACACTGCAAAGTGTTATGAAAATGCCTACAGAAATATGTTGACATCTCTCCATACTTACCTTCAGTGGGATAAAGAAAGAAATACCAAAATTATTTATCATACTGAAATTAGTATAAGTTTATGAAATGAGTTTATTTTTGTGTACAGGGCTCCTTTTTGTTTGTTTTTTCTTGTTTGTTTTTAACACTGACAGAACAGCCTTCTTTGCAATTACTATGCCTCTTCCTCAAAAGGGGTTATGAAATGTTCCTCTTACCATCACAGGACCTAGTATTAAGTTAAATGTGGCTCTGTCTTCAGAGGAAAGAATATTCTGCATAAGAATAAGGGACATGAAATAATAGAGAGCTTTATAGTATGAATATGAAATACTGCAGTTAAGATTTAAGAAGGTCATTGACGACTGAGTCATGATCGTTGCAGGGAAATCAATTTGGTACCCACAACTTCACAGACTCTGTTTTCATTAGGCAAAAAAAACAACCCAACAAACAACAAACCCAGTTTTCAGGGTAGTGTAGTGTTTTTTTTTTTTTTTTTGCAGTGGAGCAGACCTTTTGTTTGCATTCTATTTGTTTGTCTGATGAAATCATCCTGGTATTCCTTTTAAACACTCATGTAAGTAACCCCTCTCATCATTGCCCTGCAAAACAAGCCTTCTGCAGGTGATCTGTGGGGAACCAAGACGTCTCTAAAAAGATCTGAAGATTCCGGAACAGATCTGAGATTGTCAGAGTAGAAACAAAAGAAAGAAAAAAAATTAAAAAAGAGACAGGAGCCACAAGAGAGTAGAAAGTAGTTTCCAAACCAGAAGTTACACAGGACTATCTAGCTGATAAGAAAAAGGTAGGTAAGGAAATACTTACAAATTCCCTGAAAACTATCCAATGATTAAAAACCTTTAGGCAACTGAGCCAATTCAGCTAATAAGAGCACTCCACTCTAACAACTTAAAATACTGATCTTAGAGGAGTCAGCTAGGAAATAAATGGACTGATCTGTAATCGACAGATACATCAAGTAATTAATTATTAAATCACATGTTGGTTGTCAGCTGCAAATGGAAGGCTTCTACATAATTTAAGACAGTATTTTAAGTACTATTGAGACTTCTGCTTGACATGTCTCATTTTCATCTGCTTATTGCTCCCCCCCCAAAAAGAGGGGACATGTATCCCTGTCTTTGTCCAGTTTTAGCACCTAGGCTTCACGTATTTACAAGCAGTTACATGATCATTTTCTAAAAATATAGTTCTATATTCCCATTCACAGTTGTTCTATTCCCTTCCCTCCAAATAGACACCACCATATCATATCATTGAGGCCCTGATCAGCAAAAAAAGAGACACCACCACACAAAACAGAACTGGAAGCTTACTTAAAAGAGACAGTGTAAGCATTCTTAAAAACATACTAATGAGAACTGTCTTCCTGAGGCATCATCAATGCCAGGTTGTACCTTGAAGTGGTAAATTTTAAGCCCACATTATATTCTCTTTTTTCAGACCTAGCTGCAAAGATCCTCTATTTTGCTAGGCCAGGTCAGTCTACACATAACCAGTTCACTGCTATTTCCAACATAAACAAGCTCAACAAGACTTTTTTCTCACTTACTCTGGAGATGGTCAAGGGCATATTGAAGTCCTTGCCCCCTTGCAGTCGGAAACCCCATGGTCCAGGTCCATTCAGAGTCACGCTGTAAGCCATGGTGTATCTCTTTCACACAGCAATGAGAAGGCACTGCAGAACAGAAGGATAGGATAGACAGAGAAAGTGAAAAAAAAAAAGCCAGAATGAAAAAAAGGGAAGAGTTTTATATAATGAAAGTGATTATCTTTCTGCCTTGCCTGTTCAGTTGTGCTCTGATATCACCTAAGAATAGATGGGAACTATAATGCAGATGCTGATATCCCAGCTGAGTAGGGTCCATAAAAGGTGTGTAACCAGACACCTACTATGCAAAGACTTCATGACTCAGAGGTCTAATATAGCCCCCAGGGAAGGGGACAGATCCTTCTAGGCTTCTCGAGCCCCTCTTCATGCTCAGTTACCTTATGGGCAAAACACATCTTGTAATAGAACAAAACTCCATGCTAAAATCCCAAACACCCAAAACTCTTTATTGACCTGTTAACAGCTACATAGCCATTTTTAACTTTCTGCTTCAGAATGTTTATTACACTGTGATATACAATGTTCTACAAGCAAGTTGTTTTTACACAGGTATTTCCATATGTAGCAGGAAAGGCGCCAAAGTGTTGACCTTTTTTTTTTTTGCATTAGTTTGTTAAACTGAAAAAAGTACATGCTACATGCATGTAGCATCACAACCGCCCCCCCACCCCGATTTCATGCTTGGCTCTTGCCTTCCCAAGGGAAAAAAAATTAATTCTCTCTGAATGCAGACAGAGGTATTGTGGGTTATTTATAATCAGCATTTAACTTCCTTGGCAAAAGCACAGTTTCACTACATACCTGTCTCATTATTTTGATGCAAGTGTTCTAAAGGTGTGACACTTAAACAGAAGCCTAAGAATACAAATAGCTAGCTAACTGCTTCCTTAATTCATTCCATGATTTTTCATAGTTTATATTCCCACGTTAGGTGTTCTATAAAACTTTAAAACTTTATAATTCTTATTCAGTAATGCTGGACAGCATTTCTGCCTTAGATTTGCAACAGCTAAAATACAGAGAATATGAGGGAAGGCAAGAAGTTGTTGGCAGAACTATAGATACAAGCAAAAACCTTCTGCTCTCATGGTAAAGCTAGAAACATTAAAACACTCACCCCTTTCAAGTCATTAATACACACAGGACCTCCAGAACCACTCTCCTGTTAACTCCACAGCATCCCTGCCTTTACCCTCTGGTTAGAAAGAAATTCCCATTACATTGCGGTGTGGGGGACAAAAAAATAAAATCCCATGGGTTCTACTCTGATAATCAAAAAGACAACCAAAACCACATAACGCACTGGAATGAGGTAGCTCATTTTGAACACTTATAGTAGGGCACTCTGCCCATACACCTACCTTAAAATGTGGTAGAAAAACTGAGCTCAGTCTTTATCTGAGGAGATGGTCAACCGTTTTTCAAAACCATGGGGCAATGTGTTTAGTATTCACAGAATACTAAATGGTAGAAAACCCATTTGTACAAGGGAATAATTAAACTCTGCATACACACCAGACTAAACCACGTAACTGTATTTTTCAGTCAGAGGTCCAAATTAAACCACAGCAGTTCACGTGGATGTGAATGAAAGCTACATTAAGCCAGTAGAATGGGCCCAAACCAAAACCAAAGCAAATAGCAAGACACAGCTTGAAAAGAAATGGGTTTCTGACATCTCACAAATGCCTCTAGGGCACATTTACATTAACAGCTGTAACCTACTCTGTATGAGTCCAGAACCAGTGATGTTTGGATGATGACTTTAAGGGAAAACAAAACCAAATTGCTGCAGTTCAAGTCGCAGAGTTTTCGGTTTTTGTTTGGTTTGGGTTTTGGGTTTTCTGTTTGGTTGGTTGGTTGGTTTTGATGGTCATCTGCACACACAAAAGATTGAAGGTAAATTGTCACTGCACTATTCTTTTCCTAAGAAGTCATTACTGTTTTTTAGTGACCTTTCTTGGCTCCATTTTAAAGATTCAGAAAAATGGAATAAAAACAGAAGACAAACACAGCAAGTCATTGCTTCACTAGTAAAGACAGTATCACAGAATAAAAGTATTAGAAGAAAGGTTACTTTTTTATGGATTGTTCTGTGCATGTTGCCTTCCTATACCTAAATCTTCAGTCAGGGAAGAGGGGGAGCAAAACCCAGACCACAATAAAACTACACAGCAAGCTGAAGAGAATAACCATTAAGAAACAGAGATGCTGTTTAATCAAACTTTATTAATTTCTATCCTGCTTTCACATGTTTAATATGACATTTGCTTATCAGTTTAGGACATTTGAAAGGATCTGAGATCCATCAGGCTGGGTGGTGTGCTAGGAAACTACAGCGGTAATCTCATTAGAGGTACTGTCATTTGAATGAAATGTTAAACTGAGGTCACTCTTTCCTACTCCTTTGGTTTCTGTCCGTGTCTGCATGAACATTCAGCATAGCTTGGCACTTTTAAAAAGAAAGTGTAGACGATATTCCAGTGTCCTGGCCAACACTCCCCTTCAGGAAGGGGAAGGTCCTCACAGGACCACAGCTCTTTCATGTGCCCGTACTATCACTACCAAGTACATTTTTGAAGTATAAATATTCCAGATTTTTCTTTCTCCAGCCTTCTCCAAGTCCTTCCCTCCTACGTTTGTTTCCCATCTGCCTCACTGGAGAAAGCTTTGTGCCTAATAATGAAAAGCAAACAGTAAAGGAGCTCATGTTGTAGTCACAGCTTCATTTGCTGAGGACACTCTTTGCATAGGTCTCACTTGTCTTCTACAGACTTCTAATACAATCAGCCTTAAAATAAAAAAGCTGGTGATCTAGGCAGATGACTACTTCAACCCTGTCCTGTTTCCAAAGGTGAGAGACATGGGTGTTCTCACCATGTCAAACATCCAAAGCAAACCCAGCAACTGGACTGGTGCAGCAGGTATAGCTCCAACATGGTTACCAGCAGAAATCTCAGCAAAACCTCCTGGGAAACCTGAGGACGAAATAAACTGTGTGTACATAATAGAGAATCCCCTTGTTTTCAGCAGCTTCTGATGTTTAGATGAGGTTTTAGTTGCTCTACATAACTGCCTGTTAGATGGACCCAAAAATAATTCTCTGTTTGCTCAAACAACAGTATTTTGTTTCTTTTGGTGAGCCTTCTTCCCTACATTCTCCAGCTATGTCAAAATCTTGCTTATAGTTCCCCCCGCTTCAGGCAGAAGCTATGCTGAGTCAGATGAGGTCACTGGTGTAAGGGTGACATTTAAAGGAATAAAAACAACCAAACATATTCCAGGAGGAGGGTGACATTTTCTCTACAGACATCAAGACAGAGAATTGTCCAGACCTCACCAGGTCCCCCCCAGGGTTGACTGATGGGAACAGCTGTGAGGAAGCTGGATGGACACCTCTACAGCAGAGGAGAATGCCACCACCTTCAGCAAATATTTGGAGCCTGGGCAGAGCCATCCTTCCACGTCAGAGACCTTACACTAGCGGAAACAATTCACACATGCTAAGAGACCACGTTGTATTACAGTGAATTGACTTTAGCAAAGCTACAACTGCATGCTTGGAAGTGCATCACCATTAAGTGAATGAAATAAAAACCACTAGTGTCAATGCTAAATTAGGTGGAAAGAAACAAGTAATGGAAACTCCAATTGTTCAAGTTGCTACTACTTCATTAAGCTGGCTACATTACTCATCAGTTATATTTTAGCTGCTGTGCTAGATATGCTCATAGAAAAACCTTGAATTACTGTTACTGCAGCAACGAGGTTGTATTACCAAGCATTTCAGAGCATCTCATGCTCGAGAGTTGAACTTCTGATCTGCAACAGACTATGCCTCTTTGGCAACATTCACCATTATGACAGACATGTTCTTTTTCTCATGGATTCCTGCACTGTTCCCAGTAAGTTTATCTACACTCTTTCAGAAGAGCGGAAAGGCAAGGAGAATGGATCAGGAGCATGTGAAGAAACTACTCACCTAGACACTGCATGAAGAAAACTCAAGCTTTGAACCAGATGTCTGATATATGCAATGCTACCGGTTACCAAAATTTTAAATAAACCCAATATTAATTATATTTTATGTGGATTAATAAGGAACTGTATTTGAGGACTGATCTTCACTGCAATCCACAAGACAAAATAGCTGATCAGTGCTACAAAATTTGAAACTGATGTATTAGAGATGTAAAAGCTTTTAAGCTCTGAATTCCTACCTTTACAATGTCAAACTGAATATAAAATTACCAAGAGCAAAGATTTTTCCCACAAGTTCAGCACAAGTTCTGTATTGCTTCCAACGCAAGACTATCTACAATGCAAAAGAGCTCACTGCCATCTCTCTTCCTACAGTGCAGAGCTCTGAACTGAACTAATCCTACTTGTACTTCTATGTATAGCTTTGTTTCACCCATTTAATCAAAACCCTTCAGTTCTCACAGAACTTTGTGGTTTTGAGTTCCTCTTAGCCCCTTTATCAAGTTGTCTGAAGTCCTGCATTCAGATCTTTCTTAAGAAACTACATTTTCTATCATGCTTGGCTTCACCAAAATCTACTTTGTCCATGCCATTCTAGTTTGTAGGTCCCAACAGAATATAGTATTGCTGGAGAGATAAGCCAGAGCAATACAATGATTGAATATTATCTCCGTTCTCTGTAATACATCTTCAGAAATGCAGCTCAAACTGTTTTCTGTTTGGCTGTTTGCTGTTGCCAGTATCGCCTTATCAATTCATCAAATTTGCTGTTTACCTCAATTCTAGATTCTTCACCATGACAGAAAAACGGCTTTTCACATTTTTTTCCTGCTGCATGGCTGGTTTTGGTTTGTTTTTCTTCCTGCCATGACCTCTTTCTACTACTACAGAAGGCTGGGTATATACCATAGTGTAGACAGACACTTTTGATCTTCAAAAGATTTGAAGATTTTTGCTAATTGTGTTAAACTACAAACTATACCTGTAGAGAGACAGGCTACGAAGGAAAAAGATACCTGTCCAGCCTGTTTACATAGACTTTTTTGCCCCTGTATTACAAAAAGACTTAAGTGTATGTTACCAAGTTCTCACTTTACCAGCACCTCAGTCATTGTTTTTAAAGGCACCCACTACAGTACGCAATACTTAACACCTCCATGGCACGTTTGGTGTCTTGCCAGGATATCAAATTTCCTTTTTTTTTTCTAAGGTAAAAAACACCTGAACACCTGCTGCTTTACCATGTCAATTTACATATACAGCCATAGCACTTAGGTTACCAGCTTCAGGTCACAAAATGAGTCAACAGCAGCGACTGGATTACAATGCAGGGCTCAGTTTCTAATACAGATACTTGAACTAGATAAAGAAGGCTGCAAAATGTGCCACTGTTTATTTTTTATCATTCTTCCCTGACTCTGGGCTAAATTGGGAAAGTTGATTGGAACCCTGTGATTACTGTAATATGGGCTTTACTGCAGGGGATCCTAATTGACTGTTTTGGCTTAACAGAGGAAAACAGCAGACAAAAAACCCCAAACAAACAAACCCAAACACACACACACACACAAATGGCTAAAGAAGTTATATGCAGATCACTGTTCACACAGACCAGGGGTCTCAGCTATGATATCAATGTCACAGTATCTCTATGGTGTTGGCTTGCCCCCAGAGAGCCTGCGATTTGGCACAGTGCAATGAACATATAAGGCTCACAAGAAGGTTCCTGTGCCACCAGTGCTGTTTGTCTGCTACACAGATTCCTCAAGGATCACTGCACCACGCTGATGTAGCAGTGTGTCCCTATGCATATGCCCAAATGACCAAGGATTCAAGATTTAATCTTGAATCGATCAGGCTTACAGAAGTTAGATTTCAGCCGAATGACTCACCTACTCTTTCTTGCCTTCCCACTAAATGCTCTACTAGGTAACGTTTACCACAACAGAAATTCTTTAAACCTGCAGGTTGGACTTCAAAGACAGCAAATGGCTGCACTCCATAGCCGTCATTCGCAAGCCGTCTTTGCCTAGCATAGGGCCAGTGCTCCTGCCCGTTCGGCTTCTGCTGACCTCTTAACCGAAGAGCACTGGCAGCTTACTCTCCCTACGCAGAGGCGGAACGCTGGGAGCTGCGGCACTCGGCATTAGCCGCCGCCCCTAGGCCCACTCTGCCGGACAGAGTTCGGCCCTTCGCTCTGGTGCCGGCGCTTCTCCTTCCGTCAGAGCCGCGGCACGACCCACCTTGCCCACTTGCAGTTATCTCGAGTAGCGCAACCGGTAACTCTAGACCGGTAAGGAGCCCACCGCTACCTCAGGCCACGCACCGCTTTACCGTGACACGGGTGGCGGCGGGCGTGGGGCTGCCGCTCCGCCGCGGCCAAGCCCCCAGCGGACCGGCGGGCGGAGATCTCCGCCCCCACGGGAGCGGCCGCTGCCCTCAGCGGGCGGTGCTTGCGGTCACACGCACCCACGGACATCTCACGGGCATCCCACCTCCCGCCGGGCCACCACCCCCGGGGAGTTGCCGTCAAGTCACTTAGCCCCCGGGCGCTGAGGAGCGGGAGAGGCGGCCACGCCGCGGCACTCAGGAGGCAGGGGGGTGGCCAAGGTGCAGCTTTTAAAGTGCCCACGTCCCTTCCGGGCGCCTCCGCCGCGGGTGGGCGTGGCGTGCCAGGGGCGCCGGTGCCCACCGGGAGCCGTCAGCGCCGCGCTGACGGGCAGCCGTCTGTCACTCAGCGGGGCGGCGGCTTCGCCGGGTCGCCGCGAGGGGGCGCCAGGGGGGAGAGGTAGAGCGTTTGGGGGCTTGTCGCCATGGCTGGTTGCGGAGCGACCGTTAACCGAGAAACCGTTGTCTGCGGCGTCCGATCACTTCCTAACAGGTCCGTTTTTGAACGGAGATCACCTCTTGGCCTTGGTGGCAGAGCAGGAAGGTGACAAAGCTGTAGGAGCGGTTCGGCTGAGCGCCGGGGGAGCAGGTAGCCGGGGGGCGCCGGGCGCTACGCGTCTGGGTGCCCTCAGGGAAGAAATGGCGGCGGCAGCGGGAAGGGAGGTCGGGGGAGGGCTGTGCCCTGCGGAGGGACCGGGAACGTTCTGGAAAGCGGCGCGGGAGGCGGGTGATGCTCCGGCTTTCCGGCACTCCTCATACGGGGCACTGGGCTCCTCGACTGCAGGTGGTCCGGAGAGATAGGCAGGAAACTGGGGATGTGCCCAAGCTCAGGGAAAGCTCCTAACCATGTTTGTTAATGCTTTGCGAGCTTGGAGCCTGCAGCCTTCACTTCCACGTACCGCCAGAACGCGTGAAATTTCTGTTTTCCCCTTACAAAAAGTGGAAGAGACTTATTTTCCCCTTCAGTGGTTCACTGGTTGATAGGCAATGGTCGTTTTAATTGAGTGGTAAAGTTAAAACTACAGCCTAAGAGAAGCCAAAGGATTTGGAAGACCATTTTCCAAAAGTACAGAGTAAAAAAGGTTATTGTCCACCTGAATTAAAAACACTTAGCCTTGTGGTCACTTCATATGACTGAGCTTTGTCAAGATCTACCTGCTACATACATCCCTCTATTCAGTGTTATTACAGTTACGTGATTTTTTTTTTTAAATATGCCCCCAAAAGTATCTTCCAGAAAGACAGCTGTTTTCTCAGTGCAGTGAGTAAGCCGCTGCTTTACGAGCCTGTTCAAGAGAACAACCAACAACAACAAACCCCAAAACTGAAATAACACACCCGGTTCTCAAGCACATAGACACTCGAACCTGACCCATCCGAATTGCCTGGGACCTGCACAGGAGCACGAACGCCCTGGGCAGGGGAAGCTCGCCGCCCAGGCGGGAGTGCCACTGATCCCATCTCCTCCGGTAACTGGGGCTGCGATCCTGGAGAGCGGGGAGACAGCTGTGGAGGGCACGGGTGCATTCCCGGGGCCGCGCCTGCAGCTGCCCGACGAGCAGTTCCCCGCTGCCGGTGCGCGGCCCCGTCAGCACCAGGGACAGGTGCCGCGCCCCGGAGCGCGCCTCAGCCGGTAGTGGCCGCGACGCTCCGGGGGGCGCGCAGCTGTCAGCGCTCCTAGGCCTGTGCCCCTTACGCGGGGTCTCGGATGGCGGCGCTTAACAAAACCTCTTATCATGTAAGAGCCCAAAAGTATGTCTCAAGAGTAAACCCACCCACTGTGAACACTTTCTCAGCACACTTAAAAGACTTGTAGTTGAGGTTTAGTATTTCTTGCCTTAAGGAAACTAGTCTTTTTATGCCACATGTACACCATGATGCACATTAAGTGGGCTGTTTTGGTCTGATACACAGGATGCACAGACCAGGCCAGGAAATCATAACCTAAATTATCTCTGTGTTTATACTTGGCCAAAGTTCATATTGAAATGGATTGTGACTTAATGGTAGTTACAGAAATATTCCACTGACAAGTCAGCTTACATCCCCAGAGAAAACATTTTGCATCTTGTCAAATGCCTGAATACATTGCTTTTCACGGAGCATTGAAGTTATCAATGTTACCACAAGAATGCAGTTTACATGACAGGTTTGTCACATCTAAGGCAATGCATGAATAGAGCAGATCAGTTTTACCATGGATTATAAAACCAAAATCCTTGCAACTGTTGTTGGGTTTTGGAGGGGTGGAGTGTTTGTGGGTTTTGTGGGGTTTTTTTTTTTGACTTGTTGTTCTTGTTTGGTTGTTTTTTTTTTCCCAAAAACATCACAAAACAGAAAATAGGGGTATGGTTGTAGTGGAAGGAAAGCATACCATAGTGTGTGCATACTCAGTTTTACAGATCACTTACCTTTTAACAACATATTAGATACTACTTTTCTCAAAATTGTTCATAGATAAAATTATACGTCTCATTAGGGAAAAAAAGTGATTATGCTGACAGCAGTTTATTTAATTTGGTTTTTAATAAAGGAATTAGAAAATTGATTTTAAAGTGGCTGTTTCTGGCCACTGGTGCCTTGAGCCATGGAAATACCAAAGGATTGTTTTAAAATTGCTTCTTACTATACCGTTACTAGAGCTATGAGCAATTGCCTGTTAGATTAAGTCCTGAGACAGCAGTGAAATTGTATGGTTAACAAATTTACTCAAATCAATTTATCTAAACATTGCATATATTTGTTTACAGTGGTGATGCTAATCAATTCTGATGATGATAGATACTTCCATATCTACAAATTTATAAAAATAATGGCTATTTGCACGGCATAACTGTGCAATGAGGTGCTTTTCAAGTCAGTGATTATTTGATTCCAAATTTGGTATAACAAAAAACCTAAATATCTTTTACTTTTCTGTGAGAAAGCTTCAGAACTCCAAGAGATATTTCATTTTTCAGCCTTGAATTAAGCTTTTACCCTGCTGTAAGTCTCCCTCTTGTTTAAGTTCATACCCTGTTTGCATCAAGGCTCTTTGATTCTCTTTAGGAAGATTAGGTGGGAATAAATGAGGTCAGAATCTGATTTGATTTTCTGTGGCACATGGCTAGGCACTTCTGTGTGCTCTGTACTAGACTCATCATATGCTGTATGCATGTGCATTTAAAACCCTCCTTAGACCTTCAGTAGCGTATTTAAGGGGTAGGAGTTTTGATTGTCAGAGGCTTTTTGTAGTGGGATCTGTGTTAATGAGTATCAGGATGAAAATACATGCTTTGTTATCCTTGGAGTTAGTTGTAGCTCTTTGTCATCCTTTGAATTCCTCATTGACTCTGCTGTCTCTTAGAAGCCCTCTTTACATAACAAAAGCTGCAAAATGACCACAAGTAGTTCTGTAGATTAATAAGCCTTGTAAAGTATCATAAATGATGACTTAAGCTGGAAAACACCATCCAGATGGAGGGAAATGATGTCTATTTTATTATGAATAGGGTGATGATCTGTTAGATTATTCCATTCTACATGTGATAAAAAAAATCATATTTAGATTTCAGGGCTTATACCTGAATCTTTACAAGGCCTTTAGCAACCTGTTTTTCTGCTCCCTGCTCCCATCATCAACAAGGATGACTGCACATTGGCACATAATCCTGTTCTGATAAGTGCCAGATCAGTTATCCTTCAGAATTTTATTTGTTTGAAACAGGGTGGAATCCAATGCGTGTTGCTCATTAAGTCACTCACAGCCAGGGAATTTTGAAAGTATGGGAGCTCTACCTGCTAAGTGCTCTCTAAAAGAGCCTACGAACTTCTTCTCAGAAACTTCTGCATGTCTTTTGAGGGGAAAGAAAGTCCTCTATTCTCTTTTTCAAGCAAGGACTAGTCACAGTACTAAACTTGCACTTTAAATAATGTTTAAAAAATACACTGCTGCCCTACCAATGGGCTTGGAATAGTTCCGTGAAACACCTTCAGGATCACCACTTATTTTGCAGAAAATCTTATGGAAATGTAGCAAGCACAGCTCAGGTGAGGATCATATTTTTAAAGCAATTCTACTTTGGTAATTTTACCCTTGTAAGACAGAGATCCATCATTCCTATTTTCAGTCTTATCTTACCAGTTTTGCAAAATTCCTATTACTGCCCACATAGAAGAGCAAACAAACAAGCAAACAAAATGATCAAAACATCAAGCTGTTACATAGACTTCAATAAAACTCTGTGAATTGCAACTCTATAGTTTTACTTAAACAAAAAAGAAGTCTATTCATGTGGCAACCTTGAACTGTTCCTGTCATTTCCCTGAGCTACATGATTAGCATAACATTCCTAGTACAGGGTAAAACCAGAGTTATAGCAGTAGGTAATTCAAGATGGACTGTCAGCAGGATGAACCCCAGCAATGCAGCTTGACTCATAACCCAGGCTGCTTTCATACTTGGGCCCAGTCTAGCCTCAAAATGTCAGTGTTGACTACACAAATATTGTGCTCCCGTTTTAGACAGAAGAAAAGTTGGAATTCTCTTTAAATTTAAACTTGATTTATTTTCAGTTACTTTGTCTAAATAAATGTCAGCCTCTTAATTCTAGCTCACTGTTCAACTGTAAGTATTCAGTTGTAAATGCATGCTATTTGTATGAAGGGACAGGTGAATCTTTTTCCACCTGTTTCACTCAATATTTCTCTGCATCTCTCAGTTGTAATCTGATTAATCCATCATTGCATCTTTCTTAAAACAGGCACTGCTAATCCTCTTTTTGAGTATGGAAAAAGGTTTAGTTTGCAATCTTCATGCAAAACCCTCCTAATTTTGCCTTGCAGCAAACTAAGTGATATGGTCATTTACGGATAAACTTGGGCACTGCAGTAAATTGAATTGTCAAGGTCACAAAGGGAGTTAATGCCTTACTCGTGCTCAAAACTGATTCTCTTGGATACTTACCACAAAGTAGTGTCAGCTGAGTATCAGTCTTGTTCAGTTTGGTTACTTGGTGCCTTGATCTGATTATTTGTTCAGTTGAGCCTGAATCAATCAAATTGATTTATTGAAACAATTTTAATTGTGGTATCTGAAGACCAGGATAAACTTACCTGAGAAAACTGTGAGCCACTTGTCTCTTCCAAATAAGGGCTTACCTCAAGTACTGTTTCCTTTAGCACTAAAAAATTGTCTGAGCATGAAAATACATACCCAGAGCTTTTTAAAACAGATGCATACAGAGGGATATATGACCTCTAGATTATCCAAATGAAGAAAGACTGCCCAGCTCACCTACTTTAACAAACAAGAGTTAACAAATATTTTGCTTTGCTGCTGATACAGTCACTACATCCAAGCAGTGAAGGAGGAACATAATGACCCACACTTTTCTGGGAATTTTTCATTTAACTGTAAATAGAACATGGCTCAGCAGCTTTTCTCAAAGTGGCCTACAAGTAGTGCTTTAGCCACTTTGTAGTTACAGATAAAGATAATAATTTTAAAATAAATCTAGTCACTGGAGAATCACTGCTCTATATGGGTATTTTTCAGAGAGTATCATCTTGGTGCCCCACCTCTCAACAATGAACAGAATTTTTCCTGGGATTTCAAGCATAAAGTAAGTTTGTTTCACACCACAGCTCAACAGATTATGTGGCGTAAACTGTTATAGTAGCAGTATGTCTGTTAAAATGGAAAGAGAACAAATTAGATTGAAACCTAGCACAACAGTTTTCATTTAATACATTTATGCTAGCAATCTGTCCTGCTAGTTACACAAAT